GGGAAGGCGGCACCAGTGCGGCTGCGCCGTCCCGAAGCCCGCCCGGGAAGTCGGCCCCTGGCGGGGTTGCCAGCTAGGGATGCTTGAGGTCTGCGTGGGGAGGGAGGTGCCCTGGCTTCTCCGGAACTGCAGCCCGCTGATTTCATGGCATTTGGGACTGTGTTGTGTGGGCAGCACAACCTCACTGTGTATCTTATCCACTGGCTCAGTGGGCTTCTGGTCCGTGGGCTTGATGCTGCTGTGACTTAAATGAATATATTGATAACATTAATGCTTTGTGAAGAAAATGCCTCTTCTATTCAAACTCCAACAGAGATAGTTCTCCATAAGGAGAGGGGGAATTAGGAATTTTCTAAAACGTATGCCAGCAAACTACAGCCTGGAGGCCAAATCTTTCCACTACCTGTTTCTGTAGGATTCAAAAGCTAAGAACAGTTTTACATTTTGAATGGTTGAAAAAATTAAAAGAAGAGTGATATTTCGTCGCTCATGAAAATCGACTCCAGATTTCAGCATTTATACCTGAAGTTTTATTGGCACGCAGCCACCCTAATTCATATAATTATTGTCTGTGTCTGCTTATGAAAGCCACAGAGTTGAGTAGGCAGAGCTGGGTAGCTGCAACAAAGGTCACATAGTCCCACTGCCGAAACTATTTACTGTCTAGCCTCTTACACAAAAAGCTGGCTGACTTCTGTATAAAATGATGCTACTGAAGTAAAACTAGGGCCAAGAGAGACGAAAATAATTATACCAGTGTCTATAAATGCGCCTGTCCAGAGTTATCCTTAGAAGAGAATGTGGTGGCCTACCACTCAGAACAAGTTAATTTATTAATTTATTCGGTATACATTTATTAAGTGCCTGCTTGCTGTAGATAGTACTGAGGCTCTGTTAGACATTCTCTGGAAGAATTAAGTATTATTGACTCCCTAGAGCCTGGTAGTGATAGACACTAAATAAATACTAAATATGTAGATACTAAATAAATATCTGTTGTCTAAACGAATAAACAAAGTGAATTTTAAGATAAGTAAGACATAGTTCTACCACAGGGCCTTCAAAGTCCAGTCAGAGGGAAAGATAGGTAAAGAAATACAAGCAGTGTGGGATGAAAAGTGGCATAGTAGAAATGTAGACGAAATACAGCAGAAAAGGACAAAGGAAATATGTGCTCTATTGGGCATGTAGGTGCACAAAGGGAGTTTTATTTATTTTTAAACAAGTTGTGTAAATAGTTCCATATGACTGTAGAATGCCTATAGGGAGCAGCCAAAGATAAAACTGGAATAGTCAATCTTGAAGCCCAATAGTCCTCTCATGCTAAGGAGTCTGAACTTTAACTGTAAGGCCAAAGAGTCTTAGGCAGGGAAGTAAATAATGTAACTTGATTGTTAGAATATTGACTTTGGATTGGCGGTGGAGGGTGGGGATGGTCAGGAGTAAAGGCTGGAAGGTAGACGGCACAAAGGACAGCTCTGGTGCAAAGGCGGGGCTCATAACCTGCAGTAGCAGCAGTAGTTGTCATCGTTGTTATTAACATATGGAACCTGGTGGCCTTTTGTCCCAGAAACTCCCTTTCTACCTCCAATGGAATGCCGAAACCCTCTCCAAGATTTCTGTGAGTTCCTGGAAGGCTTATAATCAATCTCATAGTCACCTCTGGCTTTAAACGCCTATTGCTACTGTTACCGAAGGCAAGTTTGTGTGCCTGCCGCACCATGAGGCCAAAACAAACCGAAACGTCAGAATTTGGAGCAAAAAAAGTTTATTGCAGGACCGAGCAAGGAGTTGAGGGTTTTCTTGGGCATGAACCACCCCGTCCTCCTTGCTCGGCCTTGCAATAAACCTTCCTCTGCTCCAGACTCTGACCTTTCAGTTTGTTTGGCCTCAAGGTGCGGCAGGCACATGAACTTGCCTTTGATTATACTACCGGAATAATTACATTCACAGCTTTATTGATCTCCCCACGGAGTTTGCTATTTCGCTAAGATCTGAAGCCCGCAACTTAAATAAAAAGCAGGGTAGGTGAGAATAATGGTGATGTGTAGCAGCTTCAAGTGAATGTCGGGGAAACCCTGTGGTGGAACAGGGCAATTGCAGGGCCTTTGTGAATATAAGTACTCGAGGGCCCCGTGCTCCGGGAGGAGCCAGATCCGAGTCTCGGAAGGTGGAGGGTACCGATGAGAGCGCTGAGGGGCTCAATGAAGCACTCGGGAGAGGGAAACACATTCACAGTCAGGAACCAAGGAAGCAAGCTCTCGCTCGTCAGTATCTGAGCGACTGA